ATTTTTTTTTTTTTTTAATTATAATTAAATGTATTAGTTTGCAGTTGATGTGTGGGGGTTCAAAGCACAAGTCCTCAAGTATAAATAGGGGGAAAAAAAACCCATATGTGAAAGACATTTTTTTTTTTTTTAATTTGTTTAATTTAATGTTACCATTATTTTTGGTGTTGATCATTCTAGCTAGCTAGATGCTTTAGAGTTGTCATAGGGTCAAATTGTGTACTATTTTTTCACTAGATTTTGCACAAATATTGTGCACTAAATGGGTGGGGTTGATTAAGACTGATTTTTATTTTTTATTTTTATAGCAAAAGTTTGGATTAGAGAAAATATTTATATACAAACCCAATTAAGACAACAAATTAATAAGAATTATTAGAAAAATCATGTAATTAAATAAATTAAAAATAATAAAAAAAATGTTATTAATAACTCAATTTATTCTGTCGAGTTCATTGACAAGAAACCACTGCACCCTATAAAGAATGGGTGAAAGGGAAGTGCATATTAGGGACATAATTAGTAGTGACACCAAAATAAAAAAAAAAATAATAATCATTATTATTGACACCAAAATAAAAAGAAAAATAATAATAATAATAATAATAATAATAATAATAATTATAAATGTGATAATTTTTTAACACTGTTTTGTTTTTATTTTTTATTTTTATTTTGTAGTTATGCACTTAGAATAATCATACCTACTGTGGGAAGGGAATTGAAGAGACATTTTACCAATATATTCCTATAAAGTTTCCTTAGGTAAGTTTTATATATGCCTTCAATTATTGACACTAATCTTTCTCCTTTATTTTGACAGTGTGTGTGGTGAATCGATGTGCACTACCAATTAAGTACAAGCTAGCCAAAATTAATAAAACAAAAAAGGAAAAAGGAAAAAACACACAAACATATTTGATTGTAGCTATATTTTAAGTATTCACAAATATGAGTGTTGACAAGTTAATATTTCTCTATCGTTTCGAGGAGGAAAAAAAAAAGACAAGTTGTTGTGAAAAGATGAGATGATAATATGACATACGAATTAAAAACGAGAAAGTAAACAACACAAGATTTACGTGGTTCGGCAATGTGCCCACATAAATCTTGTGTTGGTTCGGCAATGTGCCTACAGAGAAGTTGCTTGCATGATATTATTGATCTGAAAAGCCTTTTGAGTCAGGAATTTGAGATGAAGGATTTGGGGGCTGCGAAGAAGATTCTTGGGATGGAGATTCACAAGGATAGAGGATCAAAGAAGCTGTGGTTATCTCAGAAGGGTTATGTGGAGAAGGTGATACAGACGACCAAAGTGGAAGAAACAAGCGGAGCGGAGCGAGCAGGCATCAGCCCCTGTTGGTTAGGTCAATTAGTTGGGCCGGGGGTGCGGGGGCAGAGGCCCCGCGGTACAGTACGGGGTATTTAAGTAAATTTATACCTTGCAAGGTTATAATATAAATACATGGTGTATTGATGTATTGAGATTTTAATAATGTAAAGAATATTGCTCCGCCGCCGTGGACGTAGGCACATTGCCGAACCACGTAAATCTTGTGTTGTTCACTTTCTCGTTTTTAATTCTTATGCCATATTGTCATCCTTTCACAATATAATGAAATCTTGATATTAATTTGATTAATTAATTAAGTGGTACAAAAATTTGATTAATCAATTTAATAGTAATTAAGTTTGAAAGATCTATAAATATACTGGATATTTATGATACTTATTAAGAACACTAATTATATTTATATATCATTTCCTATTCTAGACCTGGTTTATAGATTATATTTTTTTTTTCAATTATTTCTTTTTTCCTCATTTTTTTTTAAAAATAAAAAAAAAATTTACTAACTTAAATTATAAATATATTTAAAATTTAATAGATTTTTATTTTTTAACATTTTTATATATAATATATCAAATTAATCATTTTTGATGAGTTTCAATTTCATATCCATAGTATACATACAAAATAAATAAATAATTTTATTTATCTTTATAATTAAAATACAATTACCTATTAATATTAATTCAAATCAATAAAATTATTTAAACTAACTTAACTAAAAAATAGTTCTGATATAAATTAAAAAATTATAATATGATAAAATGGTATGTCATGTAAATGATGATGCCATTTTAAGTATAAAAAATGGTACTGAAATCAAGAACCGGGACTGAATCATGAAAAAAGGGTTGAACCGGTCCAGTTCAGTCCAGTAAATTCATATCAGTTCAGTTCCGTACTTAATCAGTTCCAGTTATACCGATTAAGTCCGAATATCATGTTAAGTCTAATAGAGCATCTTAACATAATTAATCGGTTAATTTATCAGTCTGAGCATAGTCCTTAGTAATTGTTTATATTATTTTTCAGTTTGATCAGGCATCAACACTACCTTCATTTTCAGCAGTTCAGGTGGGGACTCAGACTAAGTACTACATTGATTATAATTACTCTACCATGTTTGAGGTATGTATTATCAGTATCCGCTCGGACTGGTCGTCGGTCCATTCTGGGTTCTAGTGGCCTTAGTCTGCCCACTAGAGTGTGCACATGGTGTCCGGCATTTTTATGCTGGCAGATGAGGTAACGGTCATGGTTCACGTTCATGTGATGATATCAGGTTCATGTTCATGTTATTACCGGTTTCATGTAATAAATTTCTTTTTTTCTTTAAAAAAAGTGATTAAACCGTAATGGGACTTTCAGTTTTATTTTATCCAATATGCAAGAATGTGTCATAAAATCTTTCGATGTTTCTTTTTTCACCAAAGGTAGAGAAGTTGATACATATGGGTAAAATTAAACATATACATTACCAATAGGAATTGCTCAAGTGGTAAGCAGCTTGATGCCGCTTAAGCAAGGTCTCGGGTTCAAATCCTTGTGGATGCAGAAAATCCTTGTAGGAAGACTCACCCGCCACCACCAGGTGTGCGACCCGGGTCGACCAACGGATTAATCGGGACAAAACTCCGAATACCGTGGCTGGCTACCAAATAAATAAATTAAACATACATTTTTTTTTTTTATAATTTTACAAACAAAACGGAATCTTTTGCACACCGTATAGTTCTTTCTGTAACGGACCATTCGAAATCTGTCTGAGCTAAACCGTAGATGATCAAAGTCAAATAGAAAGATAGCCAATTTATAATTTACCACAAGGTAAAGATTTCTGAAGACAATGCACGTATAGCTACTTTTTTTTCCATCAGATCATAACTCATAAGCTGTATTTCTATAATAGCAAATAGCAAATAGTGAATAAAAAAAAAAACAACCTTTACGCGCCGATGTCAAGTCACGATCGAGAGCAAAAGCTTGCTTGACAATGGTCGAACATCGAACACCCCAGCTCGTCCAGACAAACAGTTCCATCTTATAGAATCACAAAACACACAACATAAAAAATCCATCGAAAAACCACACAATTTCCAAAGACATCGAGTTTTTTTTTTCCCATAGTTTCGCCAAGAAAAGAAAAAAACTCCAATTCTTTTTTTCCTTCTTCTCTATTTTCCATTTTGGTAAAATTATCCAAAAATATCACATCCCTTCTAATAACTCACAGTTCAATAATCTCATCATCATCATCACCACCACCACCACCACCACCACCACCACCACTCAGACTCCATTTCCCACCAATCACCCCCTTCCCCTAATACTGAGCCGGAGCCCGAGCCCAAGCCCGAGCTCAACTCATCATGCGCTTCGGTTCTCGATCTCCTCAACATACGATCTTTTCTCCCTCTCCGGATTGTATGTTCACTCTAACCCTCGCAAAACGCTAATATCCTTCCACTTCGCCACAACTGAGACCGCTTGCTTCCTCGCCTTCCCAATCAAGATCTCCTCCCAAGAAAACAAGCTATCGGCAGTCCTCTTTAAACACCCCTCCCTGACATCACCCACGACAACAGTCTTTAAACACCTATCCCTCGCCTCCTTCAAAACCCCCTCAAAATCCGAGTCATCCGAAACAAGAACCAGAAAATCCATCACCCTCTGATCCATAAGCTCCACCATGTGATTTCTCAGTGCTACATCAACAGCTTGAGGCAAGTTCTAAACCTCCCGGACCCAAAATCCAGCCCGTTTAACCTCGTCCGCCTGCCCATACCCACTTTTCGGAGTCGACACATCACTGACAGCCCTTTTGTACTTCTTCATCTTCATGGCGTATTTGGCAACTAACCAAACCCTTTTCTTGCCACGTGCGGACTCGATCTGGTTCACACGTTTTGCTTCCTCGAGTTCGTGAATGTCCTTGAAATGGTTTATGAGTCTTTCGTTTTTGAAGAACTTTCTGCCGCAGACGCCGCACGTGTAGGGTCCGAATGGCTTGATGGCGCCTATTTTCTCGAGCTCGTTCAGGGTTTTTCTCTCTATTCTTTGGTCACAAATTAATGGAGGTACGTAGGTAAATGAGTGTCGATTGGCGTAAGCAATCATGTACTTGACGAACCCGAATTTTTGTACTGCTTTTTTTAGCCGAATGGCGGCATCGAAAGGCGGGGAGGTCTTGGGGGGCTTGTTATAGAGGTCCCAAAAGATGGCGACAGCTGGCGAGGATGAAGGGTGAGCAATGGGGTTTGATGATGAGGTGAAACTACAACATACGAATATCGAGGGTATCGGGCCAAACAAGGTTTTGTTGAAAATGTTTTGGAATTTGGTGAGATTCAACATATCAAGATGTTTTCAGTTTTCACAGTGATTTTCTAGCAGAAACAAATGCAAATCAACATATTATGGCAAAAATTAAGAGAGCAACAAAAAAAGACAGCACTTTGATAATGAACTTATTAGGAATAGGACATAATACTTACAACTACAAATAAATACATTATAGGCAAAAATTTTAGAGTAATCATCCAAAAAATAGAAGAAGACAACATTTTTAGGAACAGAGCAAAACACTTGATTAAAAATTATGCTCATCTACATAAACAAAAATGACTAAGTGTGTTCTGTTTAGGATTCAGTACAACGAGCTGATAGTTAAAATGGAACTTGACAAGGCTTTGAATGAGCTTGGAATCAATTGTTTGATGATTTTTTCTCTTGAAATCTAGGTATGCTATGATTGATGATAACAGCAACACAGATAAATTAGTCACAATAAAATAAATTATAGAAAAAGAACAAAGGAATATGCTCTACCTTTGCTCTCCGCAGCCACCGCCGGCTCTGCCGGAAAGTGTTGCCGGTGCACTTCTGATGATGTCTTTCGCACCTGATCGAAAAGAAGAAAGGGTAATTGACCTACTGGGTGTGTTACATGGGCTCCGCTACCGAACGTTTAGTTAGTGGGCTAGTCTTGGCAAAGTTTCTTAAATTTAAAAATAAGTATAACTAGTACAACAACCGTGTATTACACGAATGATTGTAAAAAATTTATTCTTAAATTTTTAAATTAATGAGAAAATTGTTTTAAAATTGAATTACTTTTTTACAAAAAAATATATAATATAATATATTTTAGAATGAGAATGACACTTGTTACTTATGCGCTTACATATGTTATATTTTCTAACTTATATCATATAACTACTTATAACTACTTGAAACATAAATATATCAATTGATATATTTTTATTTGTTAATTAATATTAAAAAATAATTTTATTATTGTTATAAAGATAAATATAATATAATTTATTTTTTTATACATACAATATTTATGTTAAATCAAAACTCATTAAGAAATGATTAATTTGATATATTATACATATAACCTGATAAAAAGTAGAAGAGTTACACTTTACAATACATTTACAATTCAATTGTTATAATAAAAAATGATATTACAATGCAATTAATACATGTAACATGACCATAAATAATCAACATTTATGGATAATTCGAACCTAATTATTTTTTAATGAAAGTAATTAAAATCTACCCAAGCCAAATAATGAAGCATGTAATATTGCCACATAGGATCCCAAAGCATGCGAGCCTGCCACTTGGGCTCGGCACGATTTGAATTAATATATACGAGGGATTACAACAGTAAGGGGAGTAATTTTCTTCATGTGACAAATCGGGGTATTACGACATATTAGGTTTCTGATATCATATTTTATGTTATATTACATTTGATCATAAGTATGATAGTAGATCAAAATATAACTAAATTATTTTTTCCTTATCTTTTGTATTGTGTTTCGTATCGTGCTCATCTTGTCATATTAGATTTGTGAACAAGAAGATTGGTTGAACAAAAACAGAAAAACAAAAAAGGTTTTTACAGTAAAAATATAGTGATGAAAAACTAAACCTAATTTTCCTTTTATACAATCTCCTAACTAAAGGTGCTAAAAGGATTTTACAAAGTGTTGAAGGGGCATACACGTTTTATACAAAAATAATTAAAATAAAAGTTTTTCCTAATTCTAACTAGTGAGAATACCGTGGTTTCGTACCTTAGAACATTTTTGTCGAAACTCTAGTTTAACAATATAATCTCGCTGACCCGTTTATACTAATATAAGTAAGACTTTAACATATATATTTATTTTTTATTTCTTGCAATATGAGTTTGTGAATCTCATCCCAATCTATGTCCCTTTTTTCTTTTCTTAAAAATACATGCTTCACTCCCTTCATCCCCAACCAAGACAATATGTAAGAATGTGATACATGCTTCACTCCCTTCATCCCCTATCAAGACAATATGTAAGAATGTGCAAAAAATACCAACTCATACTGAATACACAGATCCAAGTAGGGGTGGCAATGGGGCCGGTCGAGTCGGGTAGTTCAATACCCGCACCTGCCCTACGACCCTAGGCCCGCGGCCAGACCTGACCCGTGACCCTCCACGGGTCCAGACCCGCCATGGTCCGCCATTTTTGGCTTTTTTTGCCTACAACATGGGTTGTTTAATTGGTCAGATTTTACTATGTGTTGTTTACTTGTTTTTAGGTCTTGCAGGTTACAGTATGAATGTCTTGAATACAACCAAATCACAAAAGTTTGTCACTTGATTATAAATAGTTAAAAGCACACAATTGCACCTAAAATTTCTTAAGATGAATTTATTATCCAAATCCAAGTTAAATGAATAAATTTAACAAAGTAACACCCAAAAAAATCCTCTGCTTCACCATCAATCAGCATTTCTCATAACTATAAGATCATAAACCTAATTCAAAGATAAAACCCATTCTTTAACTTTTTTTTTTTTTTTTTTTAAATGTAGTAATTACTAATTACCTTCAAATCTGCAGTGGTGTAGCGTCGAGTCGGGGGAGTAGCATCGTGTCGGGGCCGCGGGGCGTCGAGGGGGCGGAAGCGGTGAGGCGTAGGAAGCGGCGAGGCGTCGGAGGCAGCGAGAAGTTAAAAAGGCTGTGTCTCAAAAATGGAGAGGCGGATTTCACAGAGGGCCGAGGCGGGCGGTCGGCGGCTGGCGGCTGGTGCCTAGCGACTGCCTGGTGGTGGTGGGCTTAACCGACTGGTGAATACCGTGAATTTGAAAGAGGGAGACGGGAGTGGTGAGTGCCGCACGAACGAAGGATTTCACAGACGTAAGATAAGAAGAGAGGCGGGATTGATACTATCAACTCAACCTAGTATAACTATACAGTTATATTTATTAATATTTATAAATTAGAAAAATATGGAATCAATATGTAATATAATTACCTATACTAATTTATTGAAAATGTTATAAAAAGTTTAAACTGTACAAAATTATATAAAAATTTATATTTAAAATTAGTACACCACCCGTGTGGTGCACATAACTAATAATAAATTACATTATAATCGTTTCAAAATAAGTATCATTCCAAAAAAATTATCAGAAATTCAATTTGACTATAATGTGATTCCATATAATATTTTTTGGGTAAAATGTTATCATATATTTACAACCTAGTTGAATAATAAGTATAAATATAAAATTTATTTTTTTCATTACTTAAAATAATTTATTTTTGTATAAACTATTCAGATAAAAAAGTTAAGTAGTTGATTAATTTATTAACTATAAATAATTGACTATTTCATTTACGTACATATTAATATTGACCCGTAAGTTATTAATAATTATTTTTATATTTTTAATTTTAAATAATAATCTTTTTATTTTTTTTCAATATATAATATACTAAATTTAAACCATTCAACTAATAAAGATAATAGCTGCAAGTTTTGTCAATATATTATATTTTAAATTTAAATCATGCAACTAATAAAGGTAATATCCATAATGTTTGACCAAAATGATTATGTACATTAATTACATTAATTTAGGTGGAATTCTTTAAATTTTGGCAAAAAATATTACTAATATAGTAAATAATTTAAGTGGGAGACCAAATGTTTTTTCTAGTTGTTATTTCAATTAAATATCATTGTCTCTTTATATATTAATAGATTTGAACTTCACCTATTGAAAAAAAAGTAATCGTTAAGCAATACTCAAAATTTAAAACTATAATTAGATAATTTTTTTGTTTATTTTCGAGAAATAAAAAATTAAAATTAAATTACCATTCCATGGCTTTGCACGATACATTTGTATGATCAAAACAAACGGTTGATTGGCTTCCACACAGTAATTCTGGAAAGCAATAAATAGATCCACATATGCTCCCCAAACAGTACATGTATAAAAGAAGCTCTAAAAATAGAGTGAACATTTTAACAAAAAAATCGAATCAACTAACTCCAAATCCAACCACTTACATCCTATGATGGCTGGAAGGCTTGGAATTTATGGATGTTTGAACAGGTGTGGATTCCAGAGAAGGTGGTGCTGCAGAATGCTATGTTGGAATGAGAAGAAGTCTGCAAGATCAGCTAAGAGTTGGTGTGAATGTGACTGAGGCAGTAGGCTTTGTGGCAGTGGTGCTTTAGTTTATTTCCTTGTGTTTGTGTTTGGCTGGGTTGGTGTTATTGTGTTGTTTCTTTTTGTGTAGTTGGTGTAGTAGGAGATTAGTAGGTGTGTTGTGTTCCTTTTTAGTTTTTCCTTTATTTGTTGTTGGGTTGGTGTTATTGTGTTATTCGAGCTCCTAACACTCGGCTCAGGCTGAAGCCCTTATCGAGTCAAGCTCCTAACCACTCTTTAACAAGACGAACACAAATCTTAACGAACCGAATTTTAACAAGACGAACATATATCTTAACGAACCGACATGTTAAAACTTAACGAAAATACATAAAAACCCCTATTTATCAAGCTAGCTCAGCTAGCCGAGTTTACGCTCGGTTTGCTTATCAAACAATCCGAACTGAGCCAAGCGCACGGGCAACTCCTTTGTTCAAGAGCTCTAGATATGGTTATGAAAAGCCAATCATTCATTTTTCGGTTGAAGTTGATCTATTTCTATAGGAGGGCTTGTATTCCTTTTTTGCAAGTTTAATCTTTTTCTAAAAGAAAGAACAAAATGAGCTCACACCTAAACAATAAAAAGCATATACATTGATATATAAGAATAAGAGCTAACATAACTTCTGCAAGTAGAAACTCTAAGGCTGATAAAAAATTCCATAGCAAAACTCTTGACAAAGCTAAAGAGATAGATGCATCAGCAAAGCATTTATAATACTTTCTTTTTTAACAAAGAAAAAGGTAATATAAATACCCAAAGAACAGTACAAGGCAAAACTAGGAGAATATAAGTCAAATGTCGCCTCATTAAGCTCACCCTTGAAGATTCTGAGTGTCGACCGTACAA